CATGTTGAAGTTCCAATTTCTAGTTGGTAGCTTTTCCACTGGATTTAATTCTTTCTAATAACAAATACTGCAAGGTAGCTTTTCACTAGAAGTTTGATATAGGGGAAAATAAGCAGATCATAAAGGTTCAATGGTTGACTGCTGAAATAATATGCAGAAAGATGCTACTTAATGTGCTATATTTTGATATGATCTGATTTCAAGAGGACTAAAGAAGGACACCAGGTAACATCTGTTCTCCATGCAGGAGACAGCCTCTGAAAATAAATTACTCTGTAACGATGTCTTCTTTCAGGAATAGATGTAAACTAGATCATCTCAGAGACCACGCTATGACAGAATTCTGATTCTGTCAAAGTAAGAAATGGTAGGTCCCAAAAATTTGGACAAAGATTTGATAAGACAAGTGATTTAGCTCTAACTGAATCTCACATTAGACTTTCCTCAAACCATGATTCACAATATCCTCCCTCTACCAACAGGATCATCTGCTACTCAATTTATCAAAGATGGAAAAGATTAAGATCCATAAAGTTTGGAAAAGGAAGCCCAAAAGCAGGTTTTTCTATATACATGTATTTAGAAATACATTGTATCGATATCATTCCCTATCCAAAGAAGGACTCTGAACATTTTTTAACACCTTGTTTTAGGAAAAAACCATAACTCAACAAAGGACTTTTCCCACTGTGAAGAAAATACTGACATTCTTCTGGTGATACAATGCACATTTCAATAACCCACAAGAAAAACCAAAGGTACAGAGAAGATTGTAGGATGGTTGAGAAAGTGAGTCTTCTTTACCTTTACTGAGAAAACAGCCGTGCTAAGTGATATCTTGGAAAGTCTTCATGGACTGGTTAAGAAAGAATCACAGCAGTTGACAGCAGTCAAGAAAGCAAGTAAAACAAAGAGAACAAAGTAGGTAACATTATGCCACTGCAGAAATTCACAGTTCACGCCCATCTTGAGTAAGATAAACAACTCTGGATCTCTCAACTGAAAAAGGACATATTAGATCTAAAATGTATTCAGAGGAAGACAACAAGGATGATCAAAAGCTCTGGAGTGTCTGACTGAAAATGTTCTCCGGCCTTCTTAATGAGAAGACAGAGGTTTACAAAATCATACATGACATAAGAAGGGTGGATAGGGATAAGAACTGATTTTGCACGCTTGTCTTTCTGTACAAGAACTACAGACCATCAAATGACATTAGTAAGAGTATGGTTTCAAAAAGGACAATGGTAGGTGACACCTACAATTTCTTGATGGAGAATGCTCCGGTTGCAAGAACGTTATAGGGATGCAAGGGGAGCCTGAACTTCTCGGAACACAGATTCAGTGGGCATTATAAAAGAGACATATTGAAATTCCTATGTAATTCTTTATTTATATGAGTTAATAATTTATATAAAAATTATTTATATAACTATTAAATTAATCCATTTAATTAGGAATTAATATAGTTTGAGGTTGGGAGAATATTAGATATATGCTTTTACTGTTTTTACTATTCACTTCTGCTTAGGGCTACTGTTTGGAGTCAGAATGCTCAGCAGAGCCTACACCATTATGGCTTTTCTTTTGTTCTTACATAGGAATTTATGCCAATACTAGTAGTGTGTTTAGTGAAGAACTGGGCTTTCTTGACTGGATTGGTTGACTTTTCACAACTAGTTCCTTCCAACATTTCCATAATTCTAAAGGAATTTCATGTTAATCTGTAATATTCCAGGCAGATTTTATAGATGAATAGTGAACACAGAATCAAGTAGAAGGATGCAGATAACAGCTTCGAGAGATTAAGCTTCCTCAACAGTGGCATTGGTATCAGAATGCTGAGCTGGAAGAAGTGGGAGTTCAATGTGGTTATTCCTTCTGAGAAAAAAAAAAAAAAGCTGCTTCTCCTTTTTCCCAAAGCAGAATCACATGTAAAACTGTAATCCTACTTTTAGGGTGACACATATATGTTCAGTTCCTGCTTAACTGATAGAGACAGCACAGACAACCAAAACATGACAGTGCCAAGCAGGAGGTTTGTCTGCTTTTAGGCACCTGCCACAGGAACAGGGATTTTGAGCTGTGTTGCACTGGAGCCACCCAGACAGTTTGCTCTGTGTTAACCCCTCTAATGGGGTTCTGCAACAGATGCTCAACTCAAATCTGCAAAAGTTTGGCTAGAAATGGAAAGGGTCAAAGGGCTTGACTGAATACTTGTTGAAGGCCACAGTACTACACTTATCAAGTGACATTGAATTCAGTAAGGTATCTAACAACAAGAAATGAGAAGGAGAACTTATATTTTATATTTGTGAATAAGCTGATGCTGAAAAGGTAGCTTGGTAGCAACATTCCTTAAGTAACACTTTTATGAATGTGTTTAATTCAGACATACAAGCCCTTTCATATCCCAAGAAGCAAGGTGAACAACAGGGGTTAGTAATGGGTTTCTAAACTTGTAATTAACCTGTATCTCTAGATTAAAGGAAAAATGGTTATCTGAACTGTATCGTGCATAATGTTTTCCTGAGCTTTGCTCAGACACAAGAAATTATCACCTTGGTTCACAGTATTACCAAACCCCTGCATTTTGTAAGCCTCAGTTCTTAGTAAAGATTCGCTCAATTTCCATTGCACATATTCAGGAGAGTTACCAAACACTCTCACACTATTGAATGCCTAATGTGTTCACAATACTGCTACACACCAAACCAGAATTCAGTGTAATAAGCAGAGTTAAATGAAAAACACTGGGCTGTAAGGGTTGTAAACTAACTTACACAGAGTGTTGTTTTAAAGGTGCTAACCTTAAAAATAATTTCTCCAACTACTGGTGTATTTTTTCAATTTAAACAAAATCCAAAACAGATCTATTAAAATTTCAATGAAAACACAGTAATAATGAGTATAAGACAAACATATACTTAATTCACTGTTGGATTTAGCAACAAACATTTAACTATTTTGCTTAATTAAACTGAAAAAGGTATATATTTTGGCTATTAGCATTTATTATATAAATTTGTTTGACTATCCTCCATTTGTTCTAAATGAGATATATTCTTTTTGTTGGGTTAGTAAGGACTAGGGCCTGTCTACCTCACAGTTGAATATGGAATTAGGCTATGAGAGACAGAGATGAATGCATAATTGCTATCTCTACAAAGAACTGACTTGGAGAACAAAAAGAAAGATACTGTGATGTTACTTTTAGAAGTTGAGTTTATGAAAACCTTATATGGTACGCACTATTACACCATTATAGTGGCAAGATTAATGTGCCTTTAAATAATACATTTAAAATTTCTTTTACACTGCCTGCATTAAACAGAGTGCATCAAACTCCTGAGATCCAGCTTAAGCTTTGGTAGAGTCTCTCACAACAATAGGTTTATGACTTAAAAAAGTAAAGATTCCACTAGGAAAACTGCACAAGAATAAAAATGTCAGTTTCTAGAGAAAGTAGGATAGAAACAATCCTTTTCAACATCCTAGTTCGTCTAATAAATAGGCCACATGCATTCCTGGTATAACACATCTGAATTCAAAGAATGAATACCACAGTGTTTTATAACAACAAAATTGTTCAGAATGTTATTTTTCCAAAGCTTACAAAAATAAGAAAGTCAGACATTTAGTATTTATTTCTGAAATAAAGCAAATTACTTGCTGCATGCCAAAACACAAAACTGGCAGACTAAAAGTGAGGTCTTATAAACATGAATATTTGTCGTAGAATAAATACTGTAAACATAAAAAGAAACAAGTTCTTCAGAAATTTTAGTCCCCTCTAGTCACTCCACAACATGTTGGAATTATCTGGAGGTACTTCAGTAACCATTGTATCATGTAGAAATCATTTTATACAATGGCAACTGGGAAACTGAGCCTGTACTTACTTGGTGTTACTGAACCAGGGAAAAGCTAAAGAAAACAAGGTGGGTCTTTATTTTTTGTGTCAGCATCTGATAGCACATTTTGAAGCATAATTTCTTTTTTATTCAGTCTTAATCTATCCTTAAAAAACAGAAATGTGAAAAAGGGAATGCAGATACAGAGGAACAAATATAAGTATAGAAATTTAGAGGCAGTACTATTTCTAAGGGTTCTTTAAATCAATTTGTCTAATTCAAATGGAATTCAAATTAATGTCTTCTCCTAATATCATGATTATAATTCCACATACTGGCATTTGGGAAAAAATACAAATTAAATTTTCCTCACAATAATTGTGAAAAAATCTGTGTGTAGCTATGGTAATGATGCAAATTAATCATTAGATATGAAATGATCAGCAGTTAACATGCCAAGCACAGCTTAACTTTTCCCAGAGAGGTAGGTGAATAAAATAAGCATACCTCAAGTTATCTTAGTGAGAGCATAGGAAATTTGAATCTATACAATATATTGATGGCAATTATTAGGATTTGACAAGGTGATGGCCTAAAATTTTATGATAGTCAACCAAGTATGCCAGAAGAAACTACCATAAAAATTAAGTAACAACACTCTCAGGGCCTAAATCCCACAATAAATATACCATAAATTTGATTTATAAGTTGAGACAGCTTTTTGGTGCATAAAGGATATATATAAATCTTTGCAGAATCAAAAGTTTCATGACAAATGGTCTCTGAATAGTTTTACTGTAAGTATAGGTAAGCATTACATAAAAAAGGAAAGCAAATATGGAACTCATGCAAACAGAGTTCATAAGAAAGCAGATCAATAACTTTACAGGATCTATAGCTTGTATTGCTCAAACAGAATAAATTAGCAACTTGCTATTCTCTTTTACCATGATTGTCAACAGAGGCCAAGAAGTGGTATAAATTTTCATCATTTCTGTGATAGAAAAAAGGGTTCAGTTGAAATTTAAGACATAACCTTACAAGCTCTCTTTTGATTATATTTAGTACAGAAGGATATCATTTGCTTGTTAATTTTGTTTCTCTTTTCTATTGTTGGATCACTGTGTTTTCATCCTTTCATTTCAGAAACTGAGAAGCTCTGTGACAGGATCAAAACAAGAGCAATCAGTCTTACATTTCCATGAAGACATAGTCAGCTTTGAGCAAGTTTCTAGAATAAATGAACAACTGAACAATATAAAGTCTGCAATAACTAGGCCATCTCCTCTGCTTTCTGGACTTAGCAACTTGGAAGTTTCCTTGAAAAGGAAGCTCAAGTAATTACTTGTTAGAATAAATTGAAAAAAAATAGAAAATGCAAACTGGCCAACTGAAAGACACAGGCTTCTACATGCACAGTAATCTCCTATTTAGGACTGAGACTTCCATTTTTGCTTGATTTCTCAGGTAAGTATCACAATCTTGTTCTAACCCAATATCTAAAAGCAGTCTCAATAGCCCCATGGACTTCAAGTTTTCAACTACCCACCTAATTTCATAAATTTCAGTCCCCCTTCAAAACACATTTCATAATTGTATGTGACAATTATGCCACCATCAGAACAAAAGAAAGATTTAAAAATGTTGGATAATCGGTTATGGGAAGCATGGGATAATATCAAATGGAAAATATAAATACCTATATCTTTTTTCTTAAGTCAAATGAGTCAGGAAGGGATTTTCACTTTTGTTAAATCCATACAAGCTTTTGGCTGTTTGCCTTATTCTGCAGAAGTAGTCAGGCTACCAAGACACGTGTATTTAACCAACCCTTTTCCTACCGCATGGAAGCTCAGCCTTTTGGTTCTCATCCTGTGGAATGAAGTATTTGGAACTCTTAAGGTCTAATATATTTTAGTACAAGTATACTCGCAGGGTTCAAAATGGGAATTTCTGGGTGAAATGTAATGGTCTGTGATATACAGGTCAGAATAAATAATGTAATGGTGCCTTCTGGCTGTACGAGCCACTCAAGCTACGAAATCTGTTTTATCCACTACTTAGGCTCAGCCTTTCTACCAGCGCTGCAGTGCCTGAACTCTAAAAACCCACACTGAGAAGGAAACCACCTTACTCATTATGGCCTTCAATATCCCTTGCTGATAGTTTTAAATTTTTAAACAGCCCTACCTGTCGTGCTCCCTTTTATGTGTTCTCATAGTTACAGATATAATTTTGGAAGCAAAATATCTAAACAGCAAGCACAATAAAAATGAAATGGGTTAAAACTTATTAGCAGTAGGGAGCAGATGTAGCAAAATTCTGCCAGTTCCCCTACATTTCCTCCCCAGCAGGGATTTTCTGTCAAGCTGTGAGTTAGTTCTACATACTAATCCAGGCTGCTGTTGCTGCAAGTGCACCTTCCTATACTTTGCTATTGTACTAAAAATTCACTTTGATTTTTGATTTCTTCCTTCTTACTAATAATATTTAAAATAGTTCCTGCAGAGCTAAATGTAAATTCAAGCACTGCATGCTAGATGCTCAAAAGGGCATGAAAATGTAAAATTGATAAGAAAATAATTACATACTGAAAAGATGTTTTATTTGCTTAAAAAATAGTAACTTTCTCTCAACAAACTAAAAGTTCCTGAGCCAAGAGATAACCAGTTAATGACTGAAGTTAAGATCCTTGAAATACCTCTCAAACATACATCATTCAATATACCAGCTACAATGTGGGGAAAAAAAATAAGATAACTATTTAAGGAACAAAGCCATAAATTGGTAATAACATAAATTGAAAGGAAATGAAGTCTGCCACATGAAATATGATCACAGATTGTCATTCTGAGGGTTTTATTTTTCATGTGTAGTGTCAAAAATAAGCACTTAGGAAAGAGAGTTGAACTGAATTAAGGATGTGCTGAGTGGGAAAACCAGAAAGCCTTGAAACTGTGCAACATTAGTGTGTTAGACGCAAATGCATCATAGGGGCTGTTATGCAGAAAGTTAACACCATCCCAGGAAGACCTCATACACTATTCAGTAGCTGATTTTCCTTCCTGTAACAGGAATACTTTTCCAGGTCCTGCATAACCATGACAAAGCGGATATTGCCCACAGATTTAAGGGAAGGACCCTCACTACTGAAGTTTGATTAAGTTGGACCAGTTTCTAAAATCTCAGTTTTCTGATTTTTATGGAGCTTACATTGAAGAGATAAGTTAAAATACCCTCCCCGGAAAAGAAAGAGATCTAGAATAGCTACTTGGTACTGAACATCAAACTACTTGTTGGAAGCACTGACTTGGAAGGAGTGTTTGTGATGTCTGAAAGCTATTAACCTGCTACAGTTTTAGGAAGGATCAGTTGTTAATAAAACTATCTGTGTAGGCCGGGGTGATAATATGGCTCTTCTTTCAGTTCTGATCAGCAGGATAACTCATCCAAAGGAGAACAAAAAAACTTTGAAGGTGATGATTATCCTGAAATTCCATCCTTCATTGTGGGAATTTAAAGGTCCCTACATGCAATTTGGACTACAGTTTAATAGGGAAGTTTCACGAGTGAAAGTAAGACCTTGATCATTTTTCAACAAAAATAGCATTCTCCCCTCTATAATGAGGCACTGACAACAGGTACTCACTTCATGGTTGAAACCCTTTCACAGTCATCACACATTAGACTTTTGATCAGAGGTTCTGACCTAAGCAAACAATGGAAGCATATATCCACTCTTGCTTAGCAGAAAAGTGACAGGCTCAAAACAGAATTAATATTTTCAGTGGAGGAGATGAAGAATCACTCAAAGAATTCTTATAAGGGAACTGCTGCAGGGGAAAATCAGTCAGCCTGGATGAACTAGGCTGTTTACCACCCTGAATAACTTGACATGCATTTCTTCACTGTGTCTACCTGAAAAACAACATTCAAATGCATGTATATATTACCTGTAAATGGCAAATAAGCTAGTATAAATCAGTTCGTGGAAATCAGAGAGTTATGCTGACTTATGCCAGCTGAGGATTTGATTGTATCTATCTACATAAATGTTCACACAAGAAATGCTCTCCTTTCTTAGTTTCTATTGTTCATATTTTTTTTTGAATTCTACAAGTTATATTTAGCATACTGTTTAGAGCATCATACAACCATATGACTTTTATACACATACATATTCAATTTCTAATAATGGCTTTAGTTAAAATCATGTAGACTGGTTCATTGTTCTTTTTGTTGACTACACTCCTTTTTAAAATTCATTAAGGCTCCACTTACGTTACAAATAGAGTATCATAGTCTTCCTTTAAGAAAAAGTTAAAGTGGCAACCCTTTCACCTCCCATTGTGGCCCAGTGACAAATGGCAGACTATTTTCAAGGACCTCTGGAGTTCCACTATCTGCATTTGACCCGTGTTAAATATTCTCACTACAGTTGCTTCAAATGAATACAAAAACTTTGCCTAATCTGAGCACAGGGGGAATGAAAAACACTAGGCACAAGATGAAAGACCCACTACCACTGTGGAATTTAATGCACTGTGTGTTCTGAAGGTGGGCCATAAAAGAAGCCTGGTTTAACATATCAAACTGTGGAACATTTGAAATAACACCTAGTAACAAAATAGATGTTAGAAACTTGATGAGACAAAAAAAAAGGAAACAGAAACATGTATTTTCTTCCTACTGAATTTTTGATAGGCATAGGTACTGGTTGGCAGCAACCATTTTCAAAAATATTTCGTTTTCTTCTGATAATACTACAAATCATATTAATTAACCTACATGAGATTTTACTGCAATGTAAATGTAGCAATGTTCTAATCTGTCATTTTTACCTTTGTAATGCTCGTTATTTCTACTACTCATATTTTAACTGTTCTGTTCAAGAAACTTGTAAAAGAAGGAGACCAATTAAATTGATATTGCCTATACTATTACCTCCAGGACACAGAATTTACAATACTGTTTGGAAATCTAACAATTGTATTAAACAAAGATATTAACCAATACATATAATAAAATAGACAAAAAAGTGTACCTGAATATTATGGACTTAGAAACATCTGCTCAGCATGATGAAAAAAGTACATATCCTATCAGAGAAACCTGGTTTTTTTTTAATATGCCATTTTAAGTTTTATGATGATTTCCTCTATAGGTAAAAGAGGATCTTAAACCTCTGTCCAATCCTTTGCATCAAGAAAAATCTTCAACTCCTTCTATTCGAGCATAAGTTACTTCTGTTCTACTTAAGATAAAGTGTCAGAGAATGCATGAATTTTATTTAAATTCATGACAGTCTGTAAACTTCAAATAGTACAGGAATGTCTGAACAATGCACAGACTGCTGTGTTACAGATGCATGATGCCATTCTAAATGACTGCCATGAAAACACAATAATTACTTCAGAAAACAACTGCATGTAATTAGACAGATTCTGGTTTAAGATTCAACTTGTTTATAACTTGGGACTTGTGCATTATTTCATAGGCAAAGTGGAAAGACACCGGGTAGCATCAATGGTATTTACAGGAGTGTCAAAGGAGGTACAATACAGGGGCTCCCTAGAATGGGCCCAGTGCCCTAGATGACTGCTCTTAGATATTTTAAAAAAATCCTAGCTCAGGCTCATTTACATCTTTTGACATACAAACAGTTTGTAAATCTGGCCCAAAAGGTTTAAATTTAGATTTTTAAATTTGGCATCAAGTTACCCAAGTGCTGAAATAAACATGGAACCCATTCACAATATATATCAGATGAAACACTGCGAATCTTTTTTCCATCACTTCTGCATTACACGCTATTAAGACACATATTGTCAACAACCTGACTGGCATTCCTGACAGAATGAAAGTCAACTGTAGCACTCTTTGCTGGATTTGAAACAATCATGGGATCACAGCCACTCATCCCGAATGCTTACCATAAAAAAGCTTACCACAAAAAAAAAAAGCAAGCTTCTGTCAGAAGAAGATAGGCTGCAGAACTTTTAAAGTTTGCAGTACATTTGCTCAGAAATGTATTGGAGGGAGAGGACCAGACAAGTAACGTCCAAATACAAGCTGTGTTATAAAAGTCAAAAGACATATTTTTTCACGGCATGGGAAGTATTTCACCTGGTAAAGTTTTCATTAATGAGGATGGAAAATACATTGGCAGCTCTCTAATAAAATAGCTCAGAGTGGAATTGATCTATAATATCATCATTTGAAGAAAAAACAGTATGTATAAAATGACTCGCTAAGGCCAAAGATACAAGCTAATGGCCTTAGAGCTACTAATACATCTTGCAATTACATTAAATATTATCTTTCCATGCAACTCTGTCTTCTAAGCTTAACAAATACATAGTTTTCACCATCTCAAAATCTCCCTTCACCAATATTTTGGGTTCACTTACAAATATAGACAATTCTAAACTTTCTGTTGGTAACAAAACAATGTGTACTAATTGTAGTAGAATATTTCCCTATAAATTTTTCTTTTTATAAAAAGGAAATCAGAGATAAGATTTCAGACAGTTCTGGAAGATCTGCCTCCAAGTTTTGCATATATTTCATCAAATCAAAATAGAACTGAAAATAATTTTTTTCATTTAGTCAGTTTTATCAACAAATGTGTTTCAAAAGCAGCAAGTGGCCTCAAAATTTTTCAGCAATGAAGTTGATGTGCTCTTAAATCACAGAAAAAAATGAAGTCATAGTACTTTTTCATGGAATATACAATTGAATAGCAACAACCCAAATATCTATTACACAGTTTATCAGAATTTATGTATTTTATTGACCTAGCTATACCAAATCTTGCTGGAGATTAGCAAGATGTAAAAAAAATAAACCACAGCAGCTAAGCAAGCTGGAATGCCTGAAATCTTGAGACAGTACGGCATGTTTCTTCTTTGTATTGGTGAGGATAACAAAAGAAAGCAAAAACGTAGGTATTCAGAGGTAGAAAAAAAATGTAATTGTGATCTTGCCCATCTCAGTTGGTCTAGGGGAGTCTATTGTACAGGCAGAAGTGCAGTCCACCCCTTGAAATAATTGAACAACATACTAGGGTATGGTTCTGCATGGAAAGCCCACAGGTTGAGGAAAAAGAAGATAGGGGTGGACTCGGCTCCCAGCTAAATATAGTGTTAGTACTGTCTAAATGGTACAACTCAACCCCTACTGAATAAAGTGCACACACAAAATAAATTAATAAAATTTTGCAGGCATAGTCACTGTTATATCATTATACAATAATTATTTGGAATATTTCCATCTATCAATAGTGCCATCTGTCCCACCCAATACAAATGGACTACAACCCATCTGGCTTATTTTTTCTATTGATTACTCTGTTGAATGAGTTAGCAAAACCACTTATAAAATCATCATATTACATGACACTGTCATTAAAAGATGTGAAGTAAAGAAAAACACAAGATGAGACTTAATTGGAAAACTGTCAGTTTTTCTTCCAGAAAGTTTAGCAACGCTATAAGTTTTTTTCTTCTTAAAAAAAAACAAAACAAAACAAAACAAAAAACACCAACAAAACACAAAACCAAACCAAACCAAAAACCAAAAAAACCAAACCAAACCAAACAACTAAATACTAACTATGGGTTTAGGCAGAAGTTGTTCTACCACTACTGTTACTACTTCTGACCAGGTATGCTAGAGAAGCTTCCTAAATGTATCTCCTCAAGAGTGTTAAAATATCATAAAGTATGCCTGGCAAGCACAAGACATTGTGGAAGGGATGTAAATTAAAAATAGGGTGGAGAGAAGCTGACAATGGCTGGCAATAGTATTTGCTAATTCCAATAAGTCTTCCTAGGTTTTGGGTTTGATTATTCATTTGTATAACTGTCTTAATGCTATTTTTTGCAGCCTCTGTTTTTTTCTTTTGATTTTAACCACTACTTACCTTAACTATATTTTAATTTCTCCAATAACAAAAATTCAGCATTATCCATCTACAGAATTAAATGCTTACTTTGGCTCCCTCACTCTAGATCTCAGTTTCCTTTGTCTTGACAAAGGAAATCTCTCTTGTGTACATTCAAAATGTTGTTCCAAATATCTTTTCTTTAGCCCAATAATTCTGGGTTGTTGTTTTGACTGAACCCTTGATGAAGCTGCTTTCTTATCCTCTCCTCCCCGCTATTTATTTTTCTACTGCAACCTTACATCCCTGCACTAGATTTCACTTTCCTCTGTCACCCTGAATTGCTTTTCTAATGACACTGAGACTCAAAGGGACATATGAAGGAAGAAGAGAGAGAGACAGGCTGGATTCCAGCTCTAAGGAGACAACCCTTGATAACTGTGGGTAACTGGAGCTCAGGGAAGCTCAGGGGGTTATACTGTAGGGGTGAGACTGCAGGAATTGTGCTGGGAGCGCAGAACTGAGCTGCCATTAGGAGTAAGGGAAATCAGGATGACAGCAGTGGAAAGGAGCTGTCTAAGAAGCAAGGAATGATGCTAGAATAAGGAAAAGACCAGAGGCTGGGTGACTAAAACAAGTTAGAGTTGCTAAGGGGTCCAGATTGCTTAGTTACTGTTTCCTCCCTCTCTTGCAATCCCCTCCCATCTTTGATGCTCACTAGACCCACTTCTCTAGTTAATAATATATGTTTCCTCTGGAAACAATTTGACTATTTGGAAGTATACATTTATTTAATTTTTAAAAATATTTTAATTTATTTAAATATAATTTATCTTTCTCTTCAAGAAGTTCCTAAAAGACAAATGGCCCCATCAATATGACAAGAAGTCTTCCAAAGTTCAGCTAAGTGTGTCTACCCTGTGGCCTTATCTCAAATGAATAATAGAATCATAGAATCGACCGGGTTGGAAAAGACCTCTGAGGTCATCAAGTCCAAGCCTTGATCCAACACCACCGTGGTTACTAGACCATGGCACTAAGAGCCAAATCCAGTCTCTTCTTAAAAACCTCCAGGGACAGTGAATCCACCACCTCCCTGGGCAGCCCATTCCAATGTCTGATTATTCTCTCTGTAAAAAACCTTTTCCTAATATTCAACCTAAACCTCCCCTGACACAGCTTAAGACCATGCCCTCTTGTCCTACTGATAGTTGCCTGGGAGAAGAGATTGATGCCCACCTGGCTACAACCTCCTTTCAGGTAGCTATAGAGAGTGATGAGGTCTCCCCTGAGCCTCCTCTTCTCCAGGCTAAACAACCCCAGCTCCCTCAGCCTCTCCTCATAGGACCTGTGCTTGAGTCCCTTCACCAGCCTTGTTGCTCTTCTCTGGACCTGCTCCAGCACCTCAATATCCTTCCTGAACTGAGGGGCCCAGAACTGGACACAGCACTCCAGGTGTGGCCTCACCAGTGCTGAGTACAGGGGAAGAATCACTTCCCTGGTCCTGCTGCCACACTGTTCCTGATCCAGGCCAGGATGCCATTGGCCTTCTTGGCCACCTGGGCACACTGCTGGATCATGTTCAGCTTCCTGTCAATCCAAACTCCCAGGTCCCTTTGTGCCTGGCTGCTCTCCAGCCCCTCTGTGCCCACTGTAGTGCTGCAGGGGGTTGTTGTGGCCAAAGTGCAGGACCCGGCACTTGGCCTTGTTGAATCTCATCCCCTTGGAATCAGCCCAACTCTCCAGTCTGTCCAGCTCCCTCTGAAGATCCCTCCTGCCTTCCAGCAGATCAACATGCCTCCCGCAACCTGGTGTGAGCTGCAAATTTGCTAATGAAGCTTTGATCAACTTTGTGTCCACATCCTGCTATTCGAAGTAAATCTTTTGAGCTATATATACACATCCAGAGAACAATTCTCACACTCCTCTTTATGTTATGTGCTGTTGGGTCCAATTTATTTGTGTCCTAAACAATTTGTATAATCCCTTTTATGTTTTACAGACTACTGCTACCAAACACGTCGAAGGAGTCAACTGAAGTTGCTGAGCAGTATCATTTATGTAGAAGATATTTACCAGGCATCACTATTATGACAGAACGCTAATAATTTTTTGTGCTCTAAAGAAAAACACCTTTGGCAGTTCTGATGCATATGATTTAGTCAGTAAGTAAAATATAATTATCTCAATCTTAACATACCATCTCTTTGCTACTAAATACAGAATATTCAACAAAAGAAATGTAGAGTCTAAACCCTGTATTTAAAACATACTTAGTTCTATGGTTTATGATGTATAGCTTAATAAAGATGAGCCCTGAGTTGAACTGTTTTATTTGCATAAACAAACCCCCTTTTTTCATGGGTGACAGAAGTGGAACAATTTCAACTGAGACACCATTTGTTCTTATTAAGTAATCTGTAGGTTGCTACTGGTTCAGGCCTTTGACCACTGCTTGAAATACACTTCAAGAATAATAAAATACTTCTGGTTTGGCTGATTTAGTTTACTCGAAGAAAACAGACCATTATTTCATGTCATACTATCCAACAGAACTGTCTATAGTAGCACCAGGATACCAAAATATAAACAAAACCACACAGGTAAGGGATATGACTTCAGACACACAGAAAGGCAGTATCTTACAGAATCCAGAAGGCTGCTTCTAAGTAAAAACTACATTACCTGTTTTCACTGATTCCATGGTATCATTGAGGCAGAAATACAGCTGTTGTACAATTTATCATTTTCCAATAGAAAACTTCTATTTCCATCAACAGGACAACTGTATTTTCAGAGCAAGATAATTCCTCTCTCTGATTCCTTGGAACAGAAGTGTTTTACTGTGCCTTACTGTGTACACAAACCCTTACTAATCAAAAAACACATGTATCCTGAGGAAAAATTCAATTCCTCTGTCTGAACCTCCTATTGCCAAAATTATAGAGAAACTGGAACATCCAGCTGCTAATAACATCTCATTCCCTTTTGTATTTAGTTTTTTCCAAAGCATTTTTTGATTGTGTTGTGACAGACATTACTCTATCTGCTAATATATTTTTTTCTTTCTGATACCGTCAATAATGAATTATGATCTGATAAGCATAGTATAAGACTGATGAACATCCTCCTGTATTGCCTGATGTCTGATTGCAGGATGTTTTTGTTAAAGATTCCCGGAAACAGTCAGGCAGTTATCTCTTCACAGGAGTACATGTAGGCAACAATCCATTTTTTAAGCTATGGCTTGAACAATCAAAAAGTTACATGGAATAGATACTAGTAATAGCACAAAAGTAAACAACCTCATCAGTATTTTTCATGTAGTTAAAAAAAAAGAAAAAAAAAGAATGTACTGCCTAGTCATATCAGTAAGTGGAAGAAAAAAAAGACTTGATAAAAGTAGCTGGTAAGTATAATAACTACGGAGGACCCAAAAGCTTCTATCTGGGAAAAGGAATAGTTTCAAAGGACTGGCAAACATCACCAATCTATCCTCCAGTCATACATATTATAAATCAGAAAGCAGGCAGGCTTCATGGTCATGGTACATGTTACTAACCAGTCACAGTGCAAGAAACAGAACTGAACTTAAAAAACTGAATCTGGTCTTGGAGGAGAAATAAACACTATTTAAGAGGGTCCTTTATTAGTAAATGAAGTTGGAATGTGTAAAAATCTAAGTGAAGTCTACATCTTTACTCAGAAAGACAAGTGCCTAGTGCAGAGAACAAAAGTAAAGGCAAATAAAAGGAAAGTTTCAGGTGCCTTTTTTCCTTCTTCTATGGTAATATTAACATATTCTATGCTTCTAAGCCATGTGTTTCCTTGAGAAAACATAATAATTAGGTTATATTAAATTATACAGCAATTATGTAGTTACTATTCTCATTTTCATGCATTTGTGGAGAAGTTACGTTTTTTTACAAGATTTGTGGCCACTACCTTTTAATACTGAGAGGGAGTTCCATGGCTATTTAAGAAAGTGGCACAAAAATAACAGAAATTATTATGCTATCATTATCAATCACTGTGTAAATTATTAAATTGTTAAACTAGAGTTAACCAATAGACAAGCATGTCCTGATCTGGTCTTAAAAAGTCCAACTGAATATAAAGCAATAATGAGCAGCAAATTGTTAATCTCAGTTGTCATGACAATAGGGTTTGTAAGAAAGAGTGGGGGAAAAAACCTCACTCATAAAAAGTTGAAGTAAAATGCCCAGTTCTTATTATGCAAAAATATATGAGTAGAAGTAATTCAAATGAGGTATTGTTCACATTTTTGTTAGAGAAATTGACTGTTCTTTAAGAGTCCTTTAACACAGTGCTTTGGGGAATTAAGACAAAGTTAGTGGTGAATATAACTTTCTATTATGCAATTTCCTTTCTCAATTGTGCTCAACCATTTATAAGCCAGAACATAACAGATCAATCAAACCATATTGTATCAGCTTTACTTGAACCTCTCTGAAATGTACTGAGAAAATTCTGATATTACTACAGGACTTAAAGGGAAAAAAAAGACAACCCAGAAAGAAGAAAATGGATATCACAGCTACCTTTTTACATTCTCTTAATTTCTTCTGCCATAGAGAGTGAGCAATAGGAATGTGCTTGCTGTCAGTTACATAGCAGCTGGCTGTGATGACGTGGTGGAGAGCAGTCTTCTGGCTCATAGCTTGAAGAACTCGCTCAACATGACGGAGGGAAACTATAGCCTCTGTCCGTATGCCTCCACTAACAAGCTGCATCGTACAAGGTACTAGAGCAATCTGTCCAGCACAGTAGAGAACGTCTCCAACCTAGAAGAGAATAAAAATAAGTAAATAAGATTCTAAGAGTTTGTAGAAGACAAGGGAAGCACATTTCTATTTTCAAGGTAGTTTCTTTCAATAGTACTGTTCTTTGCCATCATTTGTCACAAATGGAACAAACATGCCAGTCTAAATATAATTTTATAGGGATTTAACTACAATATAGAAACACAGCACTGCAATAAACGGCAACCTAACAGTTAATACATGAATGTATGTGTCAGCTCAAAACAATAACATCTGATGCTATGGACTTTTACAGCTGCTGGATCACACTGATGCCCCAACATAGTTAAACAGGTTCTTGCTTTCTTTTTTTGAGTCATGATGCACATTATATTTGGTTCAATGCTATTTACTTAAACATCTATGTCTTAAGCTTTGTTTTATGTAAAACTGTATAAGAAAGTATCAGTACATATCTGTAACACCTTAAGTAAACTAATTAAAAAATATTACAAAAATATACTTGCAGAACACCTAAAAGACTATGTATGAAAAAAAGTGATGATATTCCACCAGAAGGTAAAAGGAAATTGCAGATTGAAAATAAAAGTAGAAGAATGCTACTTGAACAAAGAGATGGGTCACCTTTTGAAAATGGAATTAAATGGGTGGCCAGATATGCCATCAATATATATTTTAAGTTGAGCTGCAATGCAGTTACTTTGGGCTGATTTTCCAAAATCTTCCCAGCAACACTCTGAAGACCTACTTTTCTAACAGCAGCCAGCAAAGGAAACATTTATTTTTACTCTTCAGACATCTCCAAGATTTATTATAAAATCTTAATGTAAATATCAAACTTTTCATCGTCTTATGCTGCACTTCTCTAGGAAGTCTGTGTCTCTCCTAATGAGTGAAACAGTAAATTTTATTCACTATCAAAAGAAAACTAAGTATAGAAGTGGGAAGTAAGGTGGGCGTAAGCAGCTTTGAAGTCAGCACAGCAAGAATTTTGGTAGGAGTAAAGAGAGGGAAAATGGACTGTGCAAGAAATCTTTGGAAGAATTTTGCAGAACTTGCTGTATCAAATGTAAAAATTCCTCAGAATTACGAATAATTAAAAAAGAAATCTGTGTCCTAGGCAATGGCAATCAAACCATGTGACAGACCCATATGCAACTCCAAATCTGTCCTCATAACTGTCTGTGTCTCACAAAAGACTCACACATGTAACTATTGGAAGAGTATCTTATACAATTTGGCATACAAGCTCTATGATTAGCAGCTGAAGAGGGGGAGGAGGTAGAGAGGAAACATAACATATCAACTGACACCCATCAACTATTTAAATTGTTTAAAATATCTGAAATATTGTTTGATAATGCTATGTATAATCCTGAATTTGGAAAAAAATATGCAAGCAATATTTTGATTTACAGGAACAATTTATTTTTTTTTCAGTGCTATTTTGAAATACATGCCACTGAACAAGGGAGTCCAGCCAGCTACCAAGTGGCATACTGACAAGATGAGAAACAAATTCAGGAAGATATGATTCAGAGGGGCACAGGTTTGTTTTTAAAGCAAACCATTCATTTTCACCTCTGCAAAGTGAAATTCATGCATTAGTCAAAAACTCCAATGCAGGTAGTTTATACTTCTACTGAAAAAAAATCACATTGGCAGTATTTCTTCCTTTTCTTCCCCTGTTGAGCTGCTGGTTTTCCATGCATCGCCCATGTTAATTATTAGGTAGACAGAAGAGCTGTTCAACCAGTTCACTTCCCCTATTCTTGAACAGATTGTTTGAGACATAATATGAATACTAATTAACGATAAAATATCTGTCAGTGTTTTGAAATACAGACCAAGATAGCACTTTCTGAAAGTATCCTGGACAGTTCTGATACAATTAGTCCCACTGGTCATAAGCAAGGTCATAAGAAAATCTCTGAAGGATTTGAGCAAAATTGGCACCACTTTTGGCTCAGATTCAGTGGGAATTTTGCAGAGTTCTTTAAAAATCAATTGAAAAAATCCCTCTATTCCTAACATACTTGTTTGTATCTTAAGATGCAATTAACAGAAAAGCAGTGGTCCTAACAAGCCACCATGTTATGAAAGGGTGGACACAAGGGGAAAAGGGTCAATAAACGGCCACAGATTTGCAGGAACTGTATTTCAGTGGGACATAATTTAGGATAAGGGAAGGAGGAGTGACATCCCTCTTCTCTTTCCCAGTGACTCGGTCAGAAAAAGCAAGCATAAATAATCACCAGGGACAAAGCAGCAAACCAGTACAAACACCACTTTAGCAGATTTCAAGAGGTCATCTTTGGAATGTTTGAAGCATTATACAGAAAATTGTTAGCAGAGTAAAAAGCATTTAAAATAGGGAAGTCATCATACTATCTTGTTCACAGCACTGAAATCTTACAAGAGGAGCTGTCACAATGTATGGTGTCAGTCCTTGTGTTGTGAAAGTGTTCTGCAAAACCCTGCTAGAACCTTGCAACAGTTTATCTTTTTGGAACATTTACGAGGATAACAGAAGATCTTTCAGGCTATAGATTCACGGTGTATC